CAACCAGCATGGTAGCACATCCCTGTAACCCCAGCACTTGGGAAGTGAAGAAAGAGGACCAGGAGCTCGAGGTCATCTTCAGCTACAGTGAGCTGAAGGCCTTCCTGAGCTATGTGAGATCTTGTCTCAAGAAAAAAAGTAGCTTGGGGGCTGGGAGGCACGGGAACGGGTGAGGGGTGAACAGGTAGGTACATGGGTAGGTAAGTGGTTACATGGCTGGAGAGATGGGTACACGAGGAATGCATGGGTAGATGAAGGACTGTGTAAAGGATGGATAAGTAGATGGGGAGAGGTGAATGAATGGGTGATGATTTAGTCTTGTTTTGCTTTCAATTTAGTTGTTTTCAAGACAAGGTTTCTCTGTGTAGCTCTGGATGTCCTGAAACTCTCTCTGTAGACCAGGCTGGCCTCAAACTCAGAGATCCACCTGCCTCTGCCTCCCAAGTGCTGGGATTAAAGGTGTGTGCCACCATCACCTGGCTTGATCTAAAAGATATGTTCTCAGTGGGTACTTCTTGATGGTGAGCAGATAATTATAGCAAAAAAGAGAGATAGAGACAATGTTCTCTTTTAGTTTCTGCAACTGACACATAATAATTATATATATCTTCCTTTAGATTTACCATTCAGCTCCCCTCCTAGCACCATATGGATATTAAAAGACTATCTAAAAATGAACTCATCATCTATACATAACCAAAAAATAAATCTGCTCTTCTTTATCTAAGGCCAGAACCTCACTCTGGGCATCGGCCTCAAAGAAAAACTAATTTCTTTCATTGCTGGTGATGGAAGAATGAATGAGCCTTTCCCTGTAGTTGTGGTGGTAGTGGCATTGGTTGTAGTAGTGATGGTGGTGGTGGTTGTGGTGGTTGTAGTGGTAGTGATGGTTGTTATGGTGGTGGTGGTGGTGATGGGTAGCAGCCATTACAATTGTCGGTAGTGATGGCTATTGCTGTCATAGAAATGCTGGTGACTGGAGCACTAAAATTAAAGTGCACAGATCTTCTCCATCTATCTTTCTTGGAGAAGACAGAACAGTCAACTGAGGAACTAAGCAGTCTCCAACTCTGCCCCAGAGTGATGGGACTCTGGCTTCGGTGCTATGCATCTAGAATGTCAAGGTTTAGTGGAGCAAAATTTTACTACGTTCATGTGGGCAAGGGGCATGAGGACTTTAGCAGATACCTTCAACAGGTCTTTGGCAAAGTCTTGGCCATCATTCAGCTGGTCCAAGTTGGCAATGAACTGCTGGCAGGACATCTTCTTGCCAATGTTCTGTCATGGAAAAATGGTTCTGCCTGAGAGTAGGGAAGAAGGCTGGTGTGGTCCATACCCCCTGCCCTGCCCAGTCAGACAGGATGAGGCAGTATTGAGGGCAGTAATGAAAGTAAAACTGCCTGGCTACTCCTTCATCTCCAAGAATTTACAAAACATTTTTGCATTCAAAAGTCTATTTAATCCACAAACAGCATGAAAGGCTGTCTTCAAATTGAGTGAAGGAGTCTGGTTGGCTGAGTCTGCCAGGTGCCTGCTCTGCTCTGGGCATTGTACTTGAGCTGCATTGTCATATCTCCCTGTCACAAGGCGAGAACCCTGAAGGATGAGAAGGCAAAGTGGTGTACGAAGGAAGTGGAAGGGCCCAGTGTACCTGACATCAAAGGCCACACTCTCACCAACTCTCCCCAGATCATTCCGCACCAAGACTTGAACCCAGGCCTCTTGGCTCCTGAGCAGCTCTCTATATTCCACCATATTCTTACTATCTCACCTGCACCGAGTGGGGTCAGGATGACCTCCCAGAGGTAGGTCAAGTAAAGGTGAGTCTGGTCTTATGAGATCAAAAATCAGTTATCACCAGACCACATGGGCCATCCATACTGAGCTGGGTTGGTACAAAAGAACCTAAGCAGTTTCTCTTTGCTATAAGCAAAGAGCTAGGGATGGGTGGCTGTACCCCCAAATTCTGTCTTTTTTTAACTTCTCACTAGCAAAAGGGGGAAAACCCTCCAAACCCACCACCTGGCATTCACACTTTCAGAGTATCCTTGGAGAAGCCCTGTTGGAGAGGCCCTAGGAAGCACTACAACTATGGGAGGATTTGAGAGTTGGAGTTTGCTCTAAGGTAGTATTCCCTCATATTTTACTATGGAATGTTAGCATCCCATGACATGAGAATATGTATTTCCATGAATAAATAAATAAATAAATAAATAAATATTATAATCTAGCAAATTGATTTTCACACTTCAGAGCCTTGAACATGCTCGTGAGTGCCGGATTCTCCAAGGACAGATTTCCATGTGCACTAACCCAGACTTCTTGATGTTGGCATTACTTTAACAAAAAGCCTCTACTAACTCCATGTAAGGCATCCATGAAATAATGTGAAAAATACTGCTTCAAGGAGTGGTGTGTGTGTGTGTGTTTGGCTTGCACACTCACCACATAGCTGAGGCTGTTTTCAAACTTGAGATCCCCCTGCCTCAGCCTTCCAAATGTTGGGATTATAGATATGTTGGCTAGTTTTTTGTCAACTTGACACAAGCTAGAGTCATCTGGGAAAAGGGAACCTCGGTTGAAAAAATGCCCCATCACATTGTCCTATATTTCTTAATTAATGATTGATGTGGGATGGGCCAGCTCATTGTGGGTAGTTGGACCTCTAGGTAGCTGTGTTGTGTAACAGTTTCCTCCAATAGCAAAACATTTCATCCTTCAGGGACATCCCCTAAGCAGGAAGATAAACAACTCAAAATAGTTCAGGAAGTATCTGAAACTGACCAGATTCATTAGGCCCCTCCCGGCCAGAGCAAACAGTAAAAGCTGACAGTCCCTGTCAGATAAACCCAAGCTGCAAAGACTCTCAGACAAGCAAACCTGCCAAGACTCTTAGAGCCAGCCCAGCTGCCTAGAAAAAGGTTAGACCACCTAAGGCACCTGGAAAGACACCCTCCAAACTGTTGAGCTGCCTATAGGCTGTGCAATGTACTCCAGGCTCCCAGACTTTATGAGCTATCACCCATGCTGGGGTGGGTTTTAGTGATGCAGATGTCTTTGAGTCATTTCTGCTCCTGTAAGTAACCCCTCACTCTTATTACAGTAAATAAAAATTATTGATTTGGTCAGGCAGTGGTGGTGCATGCCTTTATTCCAGCACTTGGGAGACAGAGGCAGGTGGATCTGTGTGGGTTCCAGGCCAATGTGGTCTACAAACTGAGTTCCAGGACAGCCAGACAGAGAAGTTCTGTCTCAAGAAAGACAACAGAAAAATTATTGATTCTCCAGTTTGGACTTTGGTGGTATCCATCCATACTTTGGCTTGATGTGGGTTTAGTGTGTTGCATCATCCCAGGAAAAGTTTTGTCACAACAATGTGGTCCTGGATTATATAGGAAAGCAGGCTGGGTGGCTGGAAAGATTAAGAGCACTGGCTGCTCTTCCAGAGAACTCAGGTTCAATTCCCAGTGTCCACATGACAGCTCACAGCTGTCTGTAACTCCAGTTCCAATGGATCCAACACCCTCACACAGACATACATGCAGACAAAACATCAATGAACATGAAATTAATTAATTAATTTTAAAAAACAGGATATAGCTGGGCAGTGGTGGCGCATGCCTTGAATCTTAGTGCTCAAGAGGCAGGCAGATCTCTGAGTTTGAGGCCAACCTGGTCTACAGAGCGAGTTGCAGGACAGCCAGGGCTACACAAAGAAACCTCATCTTAAAAAAAGAAAAGAAGAAAGAAAACAGGCTAAACAAGCCAATAAAAAACATTCCTCTATCAGCCAGGCAGTGATGGCAAACACCTTTAATTCTAGCACTTGGCAGGCAGAGGCAGATGGATCTTTATGAGTTCAAGGCCAGTTTGGTCTATAAAGCAAGTTCCAGGACAGCCAATGCTACACAAAGAAACCCTGTCTGGAAAATAACAACAACAAAAAATTCCTCTATGAATTCTGTTTCAATCTCTGACCCCAAGGTTCTGCCTTAGCTTCCCCTACTGATGGATGTAACCCAAATAAACCCTTTCCTTACCAGATTGCTATTGGTTACTGTCTTCATTTCAGCACTAGAACTGATTTAGAATAATAGGTATATATGCCACTGTACCCAGACAATGTAAGACTTAATATATAGCTGATGAGAATTTTCTTAATGTCTTCTAAAGGGTTAAAAAGAAAAGATTCTATGTGCATTTTTATATATACATTTCCTGTGTGCAGACATAAGCATTTAGCTGTGTCATGGACATTTTAAATAAAAGAATACAAAGACATGAGGAAATACTGTCTTTGAACTCCACACCTAACATTCTCAGCCACTAAGAGTACAAGGTCAAAAGATTGCTAGGTTGGGCTGGGTGTGTGGCTCAGTTGGTAGAGTGCTGCTTAGGATGTATGAAGCTTTAGGTTTGCTCCACAACACCACATAAACTGGGCATATTAATATACCCCTGAAATCCTAGCACTTGAGAAGAGGAAGCAGGAGGATCAGAAGTGCGAGGTTATCCTCAGTAGTACGGTGAATTTGAGGCTAGCCTGGGCTATGTAAGACTCTGTCTCAAAATAAATAAAATAATGATGATAATAATAAACAGTTTTTTAATGTTAATAATGACATATCCTTGTTACAAAGGATACCTTCCCAATAAAAAACAAATATTAGGGGTCTGGAGAGATGGTTCAGAGTTAAGAGCACTTACTGCTCTTCAAGAAGGGCCTGGATTTGGTTCCAGCACCCATGTTGAGTGGCTCACAACCTTCTGTAACTCCGGAAAACTGGTTCCCTGCTCTGGCCTTCACGGGCATGCTCATGTGGCACACATGCACAATGGAACACATACATACACCTAAATAAAAATTAGTGGAAAGGGTTGGGCTGAAATATTAGTGTAGCCCCTGTGTGACGGCAATAGAGAAAGACAAAACAGACACCAAGGTTAAGTTCCTGCCAATCCCGGAATGCAGAGAGAGTCCTGCCCTGGGAAACTTCCCTCCTTGAGGCATGGTGGCCCAACGGCTGTGGAAACAAGAGACCCTACTGAAGGTCAGAGCCCACCAAGGGCAAGGGTTACTGAGAAATACCTCAGCCATATGTCAACATGAAATTTGAAACAAAGAAGGGAAGTCCTATAATGAATTCTTCAGTCAGGAAGAAAATAATTTTAGATGAGAGCGCGGAGAAACAGGAAGTGTGGAGAAGGAAGAAGCATGGGGAAACAGGAAGTGTGGAGAAGCAGGAAGCATGGAGAAATAGGAAGCTTGGGGAATCAGGAAGCATAAGGAAACAGGAAATGTGGGGAAGTAGAAAGCACAGAGCAACAGGAAAGTTGGTGTTAGTTCCCACAGTGGCAGCAGCCTGCCTGTTAGTCATCACCTGTCACCAGGGGGCTTTCCACCTTCAGCTATGCAACATGTGCACCCCTCAAAAGTGTCCTCCAGGCACAGCTCGCTCTCTTGTCTCTCTTACTTCTTGTCTGTCTTGTCTCCTGCCTCTCTTCCTGCCGGTTCTGTCTCTGTCTGCCTGTCTGTCTCTCTCACTCAGAGACAGCCCTAAGCTCCTTCACTCTCCCCATCCCCCTCCCCCAATAAACCTCTTGCACTAACTCTTTGGGCATAGCACCCCTTGCCAGGGCCCACTGAAAGGTCCCCGTTTTCGCCTTTCTTTTTTAAACATTACATTTGGGGAGTCAGGAAGTGTAGAGGTGTAAGGGGAGTGAGAAAAGGAAAGCAGGGAGCCTGGCGAAGGATGAAACAAGAATAGACAGGGAGCTGAGAGAACAGTGAAGGAACTGAGGTGTCTGTAGGCGCTGTGTGGCCTCAGAAGTGATAAACACACTTTTAACAAGTCAGAAATGTACACAGAAACATACAAACAAACAAAAAGAATTCTGAGGGCTGGGTACGTGGTTCGGTGGTAGAGTACTAGCATATGCAAGGCCCTCCTGGTTCAATCCCCAGTACCTTAACAGGAAATCTAAAAAAGAGGAAAACAGAAATCTAAGAAAAAAAAACCTAAACAATCTAAAAGTAGACAAGGAAGGAAGGAGGGAAAAAAAAAGAAAGAATGAGCTGGAGAGATGGCTCAGTGGTTAAGAATGCTGGCTGCTCTTCCAGAGGATCTGGGTTCAATTCCTAGCGACCACAGGGCAACTCACAATTATCTGTAACTCCAGTTCCAGGAGAGTGGACACCCTCAAACCAAATCACATAAAATAAAGTTTCATATATAAAAAGAAAGGAAGAAAGAACAGGTGAATGAAACAGAAAGGAAAATGCAACTTAGCTTGTTTATTTACTTATTGCTTTGTTTTGTTTTAAAACAGGGACTCAATCTGTAGCCCAGCCTTGCCTCAAATTCTAAATGATTCTCCTGCCTGAACTTCCTGAGGGCTAGGATTAAGGGCATGAACCAAAACGCAAGGTTAACCTGGTATATTTAAGTTAAAACGTGTCATAACTCATTAGATGGTCAAATTAAAAGGAAGTTATCAGAGCTAATATCTGTAAAGTATATGATGCAAGAGTCATGCCCTAAATATAAATGGACAGACATCTTTGAAAGCCAAAAGCTAGAAAAGGATACCCCACACAACTAACATAATATCTCCAGTCGGACCCACTAATTTCTAAAGGACAGCCCTGATATCAGATAGGAAGCATTAAAAGACAAAAGCAGCAATGTTTTCATGCTTTAAAAAAAAAAAAGCATCATTCCAGCAGAAAACATAAGCACAGTAAACCCATATATACCAAATAGCATATAGGACACAAACCTGATAGACTCAAAAGACAACACAGTCACAGTTTTGGTTGCAGACCTTAATGCTACTTGTCAGGTTCCAAAGAAACCTGGGACAAGAATCATTCAGTATCTGTGGTTCCTTCTAGCACCTCTCACCCCACCCACTACCCTGAACCTCTCCAGCCCAGTGGCTGGCTGGGCTTCTCTTCCCTCCACTTCTCTTTCCTGTGCAATCCAGCCATTCTGGACACAAGCTCTCCTGGTCCTCCTCTCTTGGTTCCTGGCTGGCTCACTCATGGCTCCTCTCTTAGTCTACTTGCCCTCCCTCCTCTTAGCTCTCTTTTCTTCCTCACTCCCTTCTCCCTCTTTCTTTCTCTCCTCTCATGGTTTGGTTCACTCTGGACCCTTCCAAATGCCTCTGGATGAACTCTACCTCATATCTAAAATAAAACCTTTCTCCTCAGCCATACTATGGAGTGGCCATGTCCTCACTTTCTTTCACTATTTACTCGTAAGAAGATCAAGTAGACAAAAATAAATAAATAAGCAAGAATACTAAAGAAGTAGGTGCCAAAAAGTTAGAAAATCTAGATGAAGTGGACATACTCTTGAAAAATTCCGAATTCACTCATAAATGTGGGGCACACCAGTGCCTGGCCAAAATATTACAAGAAAAGATCAGTAATTCTTTAGGATAAAGATGCAAAAATCCTCAATAAAATACTAACAAACCAAATTCATCAGCATCTTAAAAGGACTTTACACAGGTGCTATGAGATGGCTCAACAGGTAAAGGCACTTTGCCACCAACGTTGCCACCAAACCTGATGATGACCTAGGTTCCAACCCTAAGGTCCACATGATGGAAGGAGAGAACCGACTACTGCAAGTTGTCCGCTGACCTCCACCCATGCACCATGTGACCACTATCCCCTCCCCAAATAAATACATGGGAAAAAATACTCAACAAACTAGGAACAGAATGGACTTTCTTAAATTGGGGAAGGGTGTTATGAAAAGCCCACAGCTGATGTACATTGGTGAAAGACTGGAAGCTTTTCCCCTATAATCAGAAACTTTTACAAAATTGTACTAAGTGTCCTAGCCAACTGGGTGTGGTGGCACACACCTTTAATCCCTGCACCAGGGAGGCAGAGGCAGGTGGATCTCTGTGAGTTCAAGGCCAGCCTGATCTTCATAATAAGTTCCATGACAGTGGGGCTATGTACAGAGACACTATCTCATAAATAAATATAAATAGATAAATGAGTCCTACTCAAAGCAATTAGGAAAAAAATCAAATTCAAAAGGAGGGAGTTCTTTACCTTTAGTTGCAGATACCACAATCTCTTATTCTCTGCACATTGACCAGTTGTGGGTCTCTGAAGCAGTCACCATCTACAGCACAAAAGCAGCTTCTCTAATGAGAGCTGACAACTGCTCTAATCCATAGATATAAAAATAAGTGCTTAGGGAGTTTTAATATTTTGTCCACATAGCAGAATGATAGCAGTGGGTTCTCCCCTAGAGCCTATGACCTGCCCAGCCATTCTTGTCATAGTTAAAGGTAACAGGCATGAGTCTGTCTTATGCAGCAGACCTTAAGCCCAAGAAGGAAGTGACTGGTTACTCCCATAACAGCTATGCCACTATTGCATATCTTTCCAGGCCAGTTGTTATTGAGGTCTGCAGTGTCCACAGATGGGTAAAACTGTAGATGACTTGTCTCCCCAAATAGTGTGAATAGCACCTTCCAGTATTGTGGCACCTAGCCAATAGGGATAAAGCTTCCAGGTCAGTACAAGCTTGATTTCTCCACGTTCTATGACTCAAGTGTGGATTCTTTAGCTATAGGGTCCTACCATCAAGTTCTGGAAGATAACCAAGAGCGATGGCAGTAACCTGTAATGTTTTGGGGCCTCCTAACCAACAACTTGAAAAGAGGCAGCCAAGATCAGGCACTGGGCTTACATTTTTAAATTTATGTGCTTTCTCCTGCTGAGCCATTTCCCTGGCCCAAGTTGGATTTGTGTGTACTAGCTGTGAACAATCAGAAAACAGAATTCAGGAGACAATTCTATTCACAACAGCATCAACAAGAATAAAATGACGGAGCTGGGAAATGGATCAGCCGGGTGGTTGTCACACAAGCATGGGACCTAAGAGTCTAATCTCCAGCGTCCCTATGAAAGCCAGCATGGCAATATACATCTATAATCCCAGCACTAGGGAGACAGGAGGGAGGCTGGCTAGCTAGTCTGTTTGCATCAGTGAGCTCCAGATTCAGTGAGAAAAACTGTCTCAAAAAATAAGATAGGAAGTGACAGAAAATGGCCTCCAGGGTCCACCCCTGACTTCATACTCATGTGCATGCACACATAATGAAAGCGTTTCACTCCTAGAATTCCAGCACAAGCAAGGGATCATGAGTTCAAGACCATCCCAGGCAGGGAGGGCCTAGGCCCTGCTCCAAATGATAGGACAGACTTTGAAGATCCTACATGGAAGGCCTCACCCCCCCTGGGGAGCAGAAAGAGGTTGGGATAGGGAGTGGGTGGGGGTCAGGGGAGGAGGGGAGGCAGAGGGAACTGAGATTGACATGTAAAAGTAGCTTGTTTCTAATTTAAATTAAAAAAAAATATCCCAGGCTACATACTGAATTTCAGCCTGGGATACATGAGATCTTGTCTCAGAAAAATAAAAAATAATAAAATGCCAATATAATTAACCAAGGAAGCTGGGCACAGGGATCAAGCCTGTAATTGAAGCTAAGGCAGGGGACCCACAGTGAACTACACTCTGAACTACATGGTGAGTTCCAGCATGAGACCCTGGTTCAAATAAAATTCAACCAAGGAGATGAAAGGTTTGTATACTCAGAACTACAGAAGAGTTCTAAAATGAATTAAGAAGGTATAAATCCACAGTAAGACGTCCTTTGTTCATGGATTAGGAAGACTTTAGCATTGCTAAAATGGCAATTCTCCCCTAACCGACCTGAATACCTCAAGGTAATCTCCATCAAAATCTTTATGCTCTACACACACACACACACCTTAAGAAATGCAAAGGCCAATCCTTACGTTTGTGTGGAATTGCAAGAGATCACCCACTCACTCAGTCTTGAACAAAGAAGAACAGACTTTACCTATCAGATTTCCGACTGAGAACTTACTAGAAAGCCACAGTAGTGAAAACATGGGGCACTCACACAGAGCAGAGTTGCAAATGAATTGAAGCAAATTATAAGTCAGGAAGTAAACCTATAACTTTTGTCTGAGATAAGGCTTCCTATATCCCAGCTTGGCTTCAAACTCATTACATATACAAGGGTGGCCTTGAACTTCTGATCCTCCTGCCTCCACCTCCCAAGAGGTAGGATTGTAGGTGTGTGTGATCACATTCAGTTTTGAGGATACTGGGCATGGAACTGAGGGCCTCATGAATTCTAGACAAGTGCTCTACCAGCTGAGCTCCCCAGCCTCAAACCTATAATTTAAAATCAATCAATTTGTTGTTGTTGCTTGAGGGAGTATGCATTGTAGTGGAGGTAGCCTCAAACTCAGTTCTGCCTGCTTCCACCTCTTGAGTGTTGAGTACTGGTACATAACACCATGCTTACCAATAGGCTAGATCGCAGCAAGTCTGTCAAGACTGTTTGAATGGAAAATAATTTTCTGTATAAATGATGCTGGAGCCAGATGTCCAAACGCAAATGAATGGGATTGAATCTGTATCTGGTACTGTATTTCATTACTCAGAATAGAATTTAAAACTAAGGGTAGGGCCAGAACTCAGTGGGAGAGTGCTCGGCTAGCACACTTGAGGCCCTAAGTCCCATCCTCAGTGCTGAAGAAAAAAAAAAGAAAAATTCAAAACTAGGTAGAAGAGCTAAAACTCTCAGAAGAAAAGAAGGCAAAGCTCCATGTCTTGGATCTGGCAATGGTTTCTTTTTCAATGCTTGTTTGTTTCCTTGTTTGTTTGATACAGGGTCTCACTATGTAACCCTGACTGACCTAGAACTCAACATGCTTACTTCAAACTCCCAGAGGCACATCTGCCTCTGCCCCCGAGATTAAAGATGTATGCCACCACAACACTGGTAATAGATTCTGGTTCATGATGCCCAATGCACAAACAAAAAAAAAGGATGCTGCAGGGTTATGGTAAGAGCACAGTCAGCAATGCATCTGCTGTGCAAGCAGGGAGACCTGGTAATCCAGGCCTGGAGAAGAAGGGACAGAGGATTCCTTGGGCTTACTGGGCCAACCATCCTAATGTAATCAGTAAGTCCCAGGTCCCAGTGAGACCATGTCTTTAAAAAAAAAAAGAAAGAAAGAAAAGAAAGAAAGAAAAGGAAAGGAAAGGAAAGAAAAGGAAAGGAAAGGAAAGAAAAGGAAAGGAAAGGAAAGAAAAGGAAAGGAAAGGAAAGAAAAGGAAAGGAAAGGAAAGAAAAGGAAAGGAAAGGAAAGAAAAGGAAAGGAAAGGACTGGCCTCCTCCACACATATGTACACACAGGTCACCCACACATATACATGCACACATCATACACACACAGAGGAAGAGAAAAGATAAATTTAGATGTCATTCAAATTTTAAAAACTGTCCTACATCACAAGACTATCAAGAGAGTGAGAAAGAGGACAGGCGGTGCCTTTAATGTTAGCACTCGGGAGGCAGAGGCAGGTGGATCTCTGTGAGTTCAAGGCCAGCCTGGTCTACAGCTACACAGAGAAACCCTGTCTTGAGAGAGGGAGAGAGGGAGGGAGAGAGGGAGGGAGAGAGAGAGAGAGAGAGAGAGAGAGAGAGAGAGGATAGTCTTTTTAAGAAGGTCTTTCTCCAGAACTAGGATTATGTGTTGGCCAACCCCAACATCCACCCTATCTGTCATCCGCTGGAGCATGGGCGTGGGCGTGGGCGTGGGGGTGGGGATGGGGGGGTTGAACCTGTGACTTTTTATTCAGCCAACACAATAGAGTAAGAAAATAAATAAAATAAAGTGGGCAAAGGATCTGAACGGGCATTCCAAAGAACATATGCAAATGGCCATCAAGCCATGAAGACCAGTAAATCAAAACCACAGCAGGGCCGGCACAGTAGCTCAGAGGCAGAGCACTCACCAGGCATTCGTAAGAGCTCAATCCACAGCACCGAAATCAAACTGAAAACTAAAGTAGTAGTTCACATCCACTAAGATGTCAATAATATTTTCAAAATGGTAAGAAAAGTTAACACCGTTGACAATTGGAACCCTTATATATTGCTGGCGTGATAGGAAATATTTAGCCAATATGCCAGCCCGTTAAATATAAAAATATGTAATTCATCAAGTCTACCTTGAGCATATACCTGAAAAGAAATGAGAAACCAAGTACCAGCAATATGACTCAGCAGGTAAAGGCACTTCCTGCCATACCTGTTGATCTTAGTTCAATCCCTGGGAGACCCACATGGAGGAAGAAGAGGACCAACTCCTGAAAGTTGACCTCTGACCTCCACATGTGCACAGAGAGAGAGACAGAGAGAGACAGAGAGAGAGAGAGAGAGAGAGAGAGAGAGAGAGAGAGAGAGAGAGAGATTTTTAATAATTAAAAAAGATAATTGAGGGAGGTGCCCCTAATCCCAGCACTTAGAAGGAAGAGCCAGGCAGTTTAGATCTCTGTAAGTTTGAGTTCAGCCTGGTCTACACAGCAAGTTCCAGGCCAGCCAGGGCAACATAATGAAACCCTGTTTCAACAACAAAGAACAAAAGTTGGGAACAGGTGTACAAACTAAAACTTGCACACAAATATTTGTGACTCCACATGCTTATCCACGCATGTCCTAGGTGGCCTATCCATGCAATAATACACTATTTATCCCTAAACAAGAATGAAGTGCTGGCGCATGCTACAACATGAACGACCCTTGAAAACAGTATGTCAAGTGACATAAGCCGGACACAGAAGGTCAGGGGTTGCATGATTCCACTCGCATGACTGCTGGTGGCTCTGAGGATTATTTTGAGAGTGAGGGAAAATTCTGGAGTGGGTCAGTAGTGCCGGGTGCACACCGCTGGGATTGCAGCCGCTGTCACTGCATTCTGTGTTTTTAAGTGGTTAAAATAGTCAGTGCTTGCTACTGTATTTCACCACAGTGAAATTAATCAGTGAGTGCACACAAGGTTTCCATGATACAGAAAGCCTTTTTGGCCTTACTGACATATGAGGACATCATAGTCACTCTAAAGAACACACTCCAAGTCAAACCCTTCACTATAGTCTCTGTAGGCCAAAAAGCAAGACTGGCCAAAGTGCGGGGAGAAAAAAAAAAAAAAAAGAAGGCATACCAAAGTTATTTGCTTTAAAGTAGCATTGATAGTCAGCCACTGGGTAAAAGACATGTGTGGGGACAGGGGACCCAGATAACAGTACAGCCCAAGGTGTATGGTTGAGAACCCTGAGTGTCCAGTGTCTCCTTCTTCCCGCTCCCATTGTCATCAACAGGACCTCCCCTGGACCCTGGCGTCTCTTCCCCACAGCTTGTCCCCCACAGGGACAAGTCACAGCTTGTCACATCTCATGCCAGGTGACCATCTCCCCACCCACATCCTTGCCCAGAGTAGAGACTGGCTGGGATTAGGTGTTACCCAAGTGACACTTGGTGGTCACTTTTGAACCAGGACAGCCAGCCTTTTCCTGAAAGTCTGGCATGGCACTGAGGTAAGAACAATCCTAGCCTGTTTTTATGGTTCACCTGGAAGGAAGCCTTAAAGACAGGTGTCAAATCCCGAATCTTTCCCGGGGTCTTCCACCCACCACAGTTTCACTGCCGAGGTCTGACACCCTCACACAAACATGCAGGCAAAACACCAAAGCACATAAGATCAAATAATAAATTTTTAAAAAGAAAGAAATTCACAGGCAGGGGTTACAAGATGGGAAATAAATAGAGGCTCAGTGAGTTAAGAGGTTTGTTCTAGGCCATACAGCTGTGCTGGGGGCAAACACAGAGAAGCCTAACCCAGGTCCCTCCCCTCTGCTTGCTGAGCAATGCTACTTCAAGGGAGTTACTGCTCAGTGTCTTGTGCAGTGTGAAGGCCCCATCCAAACACCTCTCCCTCCTCAAAGGAGGGGCCCAGACCAGCTAAGGCCCACCATGCTAGGGGTCTCTCCACTGAGAGTGCTCAGTGTTGAGGGGTGTGTTTACCACTCCTTTTCAAGTGGCTAGTGACACTTGTGAACAGAAGAGGCAATCTCAGGGAAAGGGCTGGCTTGTGCAGGGTGCTCACCCCACTCTGCTCATAGGAAATATGCATCACATTCATTCATGAGCCCACAAGCCCACCCGGCTACTCCTCCTCTCCCTTGGCCCCTCCGGCTGCCACCAGCCTCAAGATTGTACTGACAGGTTGTCCGTCACTCAAGTTGTAAGAGTAGCAATGGGTACCACTGGGCATGTGGATGTATTGTTCACAGCAAAACCCTTGCCAGGGTCAGGCCCTGACACGTGACATAAATTGCTGCCATTCTTGCCCTCCCCAGGACACTGGAGGAAACCATCACTGCCCTGAGAAGATGCAGGCAGGGCCTGCGACTCAGAGGGGAAGTGACTTGCCCGGGCTCACACGGCTACCCAATGAAGGCAAGAAGGGATTATGAAGCTTGTCTATCCCAGATTTTTCTTACAGGCCATATCTCCTAAACTTTTCTGTTTAGGTTTACTCTAGACTTTGTTGTCACTGAGTTATTAAATCTACCCAACTCCCAGGAGGGGCTCTGACCAGCCCGAGTGAGTGATGGCCAGATAGCGGTTGGGTGGGGCAGATGGCGTGACAGGACACAGAGGGTGAATGGAGGCAGGTCTAAGCACGTAGCATGCACACTCTAACAGCAGCACTTACCACCTGAGGACAGGAGGGCAGGGGCACCCAGAGCAGTAGCCAACAGAGGAAGGAAGAAGGAATTAGTGAGCGTGGGAAGCCTGGAGGCGGCCTGGGGCCAGGGCACCCCACACCTATTCTTCCACTCACTGGCCTGACAAGAGTGAAGGGGTGAGGAGGAGGCCCCTTAAGAGTAACCTGCCATTTGGTGGGCAAAGACCAACTGTCTTGGGCACGCCATTTCAGGGAGGCCACATCTGGGCTTTTAGAGGAGAGATGGAAGAGCAGATGGCCTTTTGGTAGATCAAGGTGGGGACTCCACCACAGATGTGTCCTGATGACACATCGACTTGCCATGTCTTAAATTCCCACATGCCTCAGCTGGGCGCAGTGGTGCCACACGCCTTTAATCCCAGCACTCGGGAGGCAGAGGCAGGAAGATCTCTGCGTTTGAGACCAGCCTTGTCTACAGAGTGAGTTCTAGGACAGCCAGGGCTGCATAGAGAGACCCTGACTCGAAAATCAAAAAGAAAAACTCCCATTTTCCTCAACTGCTCTCACTGAACTTAGGAATCAGAACCCAAGCAGAACCAGTGGATAAA